AAGGGACCCTGTCACTTTATTGCAGCACCCTCGCAGCAGCCACTCCTCACCTTTGCCGCTTCAAAATGCTTTTTAGCTGAAATCAGCGCAAGGCAAACTAATTTCTGGCCGAGATTGAAGTGCCAGCTAGAAAGTTATAAAAAGTAATTGTTGGCACCCGTTGATTTTTACATTTTTTCTCGTCCCACCCTCACGGCCAAAATGCAAATTGAGTGCGCTATCAGCAACTGTCATGGCAACCCATTTTCCCCTTTCCAACGCATGTCCATTGGCGAGGCGGGGTACACGCCCATCTACTGTCGCACAGTTTCACCTGTTTTGGGTCTTTGACTCCCTCCCCCCTCACTTTTTTTTTTAGCAATTGTTATTGGGCTGGTTGCCATTTGGCTGATGTCGGCAGATTTAGCGCACGTAGCATTTTTAATAATGCCGCCAATTGTCATATTTGCCCCAACAAAACTGGTCAACCCATTTCGCAGAGGGTATCCTCATATGGTTATTGTTGTGCTTCTCGCTCAGCTCTGCAGCAATTAGTTTCAGCAAATTTCCAACTATCTCACAATAAAAAGAAATGCGAGACGGAACCGAGTTGATGAACAAAAATGTGAAAAAAGACAATGCAGATGAATTTGGCCTTAAGAGAGATAGCCAGTGTCGTCGAGAATGATATAGATACACGTATTTACTATTATGACATTTGCAATGTTTTCGCTATTTTACGTTTTTGAAGGCTTACACGAGCTGAGGATATTGTGTATATATTTGTAGATAGGCTCGTGTAAGCCTCCAAGGAAATAAAACTCTTTTTGAGTTTGTAAAAGTTATTGACATATTCTCTGCTTGTGTTTATCCAATATATCGGAAGGTCAGCGTGAATGTTATAAGAAGGATATAATACGGAACATAATTAAAATTTATTTAAAAAGTGATGAACAACTTTGAATTGTGTTCCAAAAATTGCAGACTAGATAAATATTTATATTGAAACTCTACATAATCATATGTGCATTAATGAAATGTGTAACAGAACATAAATATCAGATGTTTTTTTTTTCAAGTTTTTTTGTTTAATATTTTGCTTAGTTATAATACAAAATTATAAATTTTGTTTTATTAATATATCAATTTTATTTGGAAAATGGAGTTTGGTTTTTTTAACAATTATTAACGAATTACTGTTCCAACAATATAAACTTATGAAATTGTATTCTAAAATCTGAGTAAGAAACACAAACAACAGGAATCACAATCTTAGCCCCGTGTAACTTGCGAATGGGGGACATCACAATCTGAGCCTCGTGTAAACTTGCGTCTGCCTAGGAGCCTATCAGTCATAAAAATACATACAACGTCGTTTATTACCCCGCGCATAAGCTTTTATATATTTTTTGTGTCTCTTTCTCTGTTGTCTGTCGTATCAATTGTCAATTTTAATTGCTGGCAGTTGTCATAACTCGGTTGTTAAATTTACAACTGAGCTGGGCAACAGGGAGCGAGCGAGATGGAGACAAAGCGAGCGACTGAGAGAGATGGATTGAGTGGTGAATGGGGGGGCAACACATTTAATGGCGCCCTCAACGCAATGCGTTGACTTTCTTTATGGTTATGCAACAGCCAGACTGGACAGAGAGTCCATATTCGAGTCGTTATGCATGAGCTGCTTAATATGCAGCGAGTGGCCATATTGAATCATCTGAGGCAAATGCCGCGGGCACACTCTATCGAACCGGGCGAGTCCGTGGTTCATGCTGATAAGCAGAAGTCACGTAGAGATGATTTGAAAAGGAGACAAAATCATGCATTAAATCGTTGCGACTGGCCCGAGCTCTGGCTCTCAGTTCATTTAATTGCGACCCGCTAAAGGTGTGCAGTTACACAGAATCCATTACCCTCCCCGCGCTGCACCTGGCTCAGCCCCAGTGCTGTTCTAGCCGCAATTAGTCAAACGAATTTGTTGGAATTAATCAGAATGTGGCCAGCATTTAAAATGCAAAATGCGTGCGCTAAATTACGACGAATTCTGAAGCAGCACAAAAAATATACATACAAAAAAAGAAAAAACAAACTAGACGCATTTTTTAGCGTGTAAGCTGCGCAGCCCGTGCTGCCCCTCTTCGCCAACTCCCCTGGCGGCAAAAGAGAGAAGACTTTTGTGCCAAGTTGATGATGACTCGTTTTGGCTTTGTGCTCGTCTTTGGCGCGTCTACATTTGAATACTAATTGCATTTGGGGCACGTTGTTGTTGTTGTGGTTGTTGGCTGCCTGCCTTGCGGTAAATATGATAAACAACAAAGCGCCTCATTTTGACATTTGTCTGTTTGCAGCGCCCACGTTGACGTTGTGCCACCACGTTGCCAATTCCGCCGTCAGACTCCCACGACTGACAGACCCGACCTGCCCCGCCATGGCTGGCTGCCTGCCTGTCTGCCTGCGCCTGCTCTTCGTAATCGCAAATAGATATGCGACTCAGATAATGATCGGCTCAGCTGGCAGGCCAAACTCCAGCTACAGCTGCAGCAACAGCTCCAGCTCCAACTCCAACTGGAACTGCAATTCCTGACTCTGGCGGTTGTCGCGCTTTGAACTTAAATGGGTTTTGTTGTTGCTGTTGTTGCTGTTGTTGCTGTTGTTGCTGTTGTTGTTGACATGTAGTCAGCAGGCAAATTTGCCATATGTTGGCAAAATGGCAAACTGTTTTTGCGCTGGCCTTTTCGGCTTTAGCCAAGTGTCAGGTATTTTAACATTGTCTTGCCAGGACTTGCTGCTTACCATTTTAGCTGACACACAATAACAATGCATACACTTCTAAAAAAAAAGCGAGCTCTATTTTACACTCGGGTTTTCCTAGTTCCAAAAAAATCCCACTAACTAGGTTTTATTTCGCTATAATTAGACACCTTCCTTCCTACTATATTTCTTAAATTAGGAATTTTATTAAATTAAGCCAAACAAATTAAAAATCTTTCCTAACTATACAGACGAATTTCATATTTTTTCTGAGTGTAGAAATGTTGAATAGCCGCAAAGACATTCAGTTTTTCAAATTTTGTTGATTTACATTCCATTGCACAAATTGTTACCAGCCTTCACGCGGCCTTAAAATTGCGAAAAGTCAAGTAATTTGCATGTTTTATGTTAGTTTGTGCTCCAGAATGATTTTGCATATAAAGTGCATTTATTTTTTATATTACTACTTTTTTCTTTAATTTTTAAAATCATATGTGAGTTGTTTAAAACATTTTAATAGGTGTTTTTTCGTTTTTGTTTAAACTAGGTTAAAATACAAATTTGAAATGCATGGTATTGGTTCAAGAGCATTGGACTAGCAAGCGGGAGGTCGCAGGTTCAAATTCTGCAGCGAAGTTTTAAATTTTCATTTTTATTCAAATAGAAAACAACAAGGAGAATACATAGACACATGCCCTTAAGAAGACGCGTTATTTTTTGAATGTTGCACATTTTTGAGAATTTTTCTGTTTATGCCTTCTTTTTCTGGAATAGATTTTAATCATGACGTGTCTCTTTGCTGGCAGTTACTGCCAAAAATGCAAAAAAAAAACGTTTTAGTTGGTGAATTTGGAGGAATACATGTGAATGGGAGTATCAGAGCCAGAAATAAAAGAAAAACAACAGCAGCAGAGCCAATGAATAATTGACCAGGCACAACATCAGCGCCGCACTTGTAATTAATTATACAGCAGGAACAGTAGAAGCTGTAGAAACAGGCAGGCAGGAACAGGAGCCGGCAACAAATATGCCTGGTAATTATCACTAAGACGCGCCGCGGCTGATTAAAAATGCGACGCCGACGCTGGAGCTTGGAGTGGCTTCGGGTCTGAGACTCGGACTTGGACTTAAACTTGAACTGGAACTGGGATTGAAACCTGGGTCTGGATCTGGTGATGTGCATCGAGGCAGCAAGTTGAACGCCAACTTCAACTCGAATTCTGACAGTTTTCGTACGGCTGACATGACAAGATGCCAGTGCCGATGACGCTAAAAACTTGGAACCCAGTCGGTTGCCCGGGCCAGTTGCGGCCGGCGGCTGGCGGCTGCCCCCAACTGATTGACTGCCCAGACAGGGCGACTGGCGACGGAATCTCAAAGCTGATGCTTGCCTGCGCTTGAGTGGCGATTTGAGCAGCGCAGCCTGAAAGCCGCACCATGTAGTCAAGTGCCGACGGCGACTGACCGACTCCTGACTGCCGACGTCCAGCTCTGTGGCTGGCACGGGGTTTGCGCGGTCAGTGGGCAGACGGTCAGACAGCCAGCGACATGGAGTACCAAGTGTTGCATATAAATGAGGCGTGCCAAAAGTTGACAATGATATTAACCTTGAGTGGGCTTTTCAGCTGGTTTTTTACGTGAAGGTCATGTAGTCAGGCGGCTAGCCATTGATTCACTGCGATGTGCTTGAAGATAATTGCTATGGGCATTAGCTGACTAAAAGCTGATGCGTTTGTCATTCATGCGTGTTAATCAGCTTGTGACAGTAATCGATATACATGGCCCTTAATCGATTCATTTTCGTGCAGTCCTCTGACTTGTTTGCTGTTAAGCAATTATCCATAAAGTTTAGTTACCTTCTAGCACTAACTATACAATGCAATTGTCCCTTGTTGCAAAGTATATACATATATTATATGCGATCTAGTCTCTCAGTTTTAAGCCTATCGTATTAAAACTTTGCATAGGTCCGTTTTTCCGTTGCAGGCAGTACATACATATGTCGTAATCGGCCTGAGCCATATGCCATATGAACGATCGGTCGAAAAGTAGGTTCTTCTAAGAAAAACTTTTTTGTTTAGCAAGATATTTTAAACAAACTCGTCAAGTACTAGTTTCATTATGCTCTTTGAACATGGTCTAAATCGGAAGTATCTCTAGCTTGAGAATATGTTTGTTGCTTTAAAGTATCGCAAGCCTAAACTAAATCAAAGGTATTTGTATTAATTGGTGTCTAAAAACTGTATACGCAATTTATTTAAAAAAACTTCGCATTAACTTGACAAAACGTAAACTTTTATTGCGCCGCATAGCAGTAAAAGGGGGAACAAAAATAAATGTTTGCCAGGGATCAACCCAGTATTAGCAGTAACGAAACTGTATTAATTATGCGATAATTACATTTTGCATTTGTAAGTTTTTTTTTGTTGCTGGCATTTTAGGCCAAATGAGTCTATGACAGACTTTGCTGGAGCTGTGAAGTTGCGCAAAACTTCCAGTTACTCTTTTGCCTTGCGTCCAAAGTTTTCGCCATCCTCCAATGTCTCCGGTAACGGAGTACCGCGTGTCTCTGGTAAAAATATGCTGCAAATCACGGCCGCTAACGAGAAGAGGCCGAATATGAGTGGTGTTATCCATGACTTAAACTGGGCCAGATCACAGATGAGCGGTGCTAGCAGACCACCAAAACGGCCAATCATTGAGCACAGGCCCATACCATTCGAGCGCACCACTGTCGGGAATATCTCACCGCCCCATAGATACACATTGGGAAATGATATCGACGCACCAAATAGTCCCAGTGTGGCGCAGGCCACCTGAATCCGCATATCGAATCTAGTCAGAAACACCAAAGCTAACAGTCCAATGGCACTAAGCCCATTGGACAGCATCATTGTGATCTTGCGACCCAAATACTTGGTCAAGACCACGCAGAGCAGGCTGCCGGGTATGCCCAACCCAGCGGCGATGAGATTGTTAAGGAATATATTGCCGCCCAGCTTGGATATATACTGAGCGGTGCCATAGTAGACCATGCAAATCACCAACCAAATTACGAGCATGCAAAAGGTCTTCGCACGCAATAAGGGCGTTCGAAAAAGATCGATCACGGTACCCTTTTTTGTAGGTGTCCTGGCAGCCAGCACTTTGTAGCCGGCCTCTATTTCCCCTCGGATGGTTTCGGTGGGAGCATTGTTTCTTTTAGCTATCTTTTCCAATATCATTATGGAATCATCCACGCGTCCTGTCGTAAACAGCCAACGTGGCGACTCGGGCACCAGGCATATGTAAATCACGAACACGACTGAAAATATTGTCACGGCGAACTGAAACCAGCGCCAGGTCCGTATAAAGTAGGCGAATACCGACAGGGAGGCGTGGCCAATGTTGAACGGTATTTGATACAGAATTGCAACCAGTTCGCGTTTCTTCGGTCCAATGATTTCCATGATGAGCACAAAGCTGTCGAGCGAGAGAGAGAGAGGGGGGAGAGAGAGAGAGAGAGAGAGAGAGAGAGAGAGAGAGAGAGAGAGAAGCAAGCAAATTCAAATCTAATCGAAAATTTCGGTATTTCAAAAGTTTAAATAATGGTAAATCTGCTTACTTACAACACTCATTTTGCCAGGCATCGTGAGGCACAGTACTGAAATTTCCAATCCTTTTTGTTATAGTCTTTATATATATCTACATATATTCGACTGACTAACTGATTGGCACATCTGCATTTTTTATACCCTGAACTCATTAAAAATGGTTAAACAGGGTATATTGTATTTGTGCAAATGTATGTACCAGGCAGAAGGAAGCATCTCCGACCCCATAAAGTATATATATTCTTGATCAGCATCAATAGCCGAGTCGATCTAGCCATGTCTGTCTGTCTGTCTGTCCGTCTGTCCGTCTGTCCGTCCGTCCGTCCGTATGTATCAACGCAAGGATATCAGAACCTATAAGAGCTAGAGACTTGAAATTTTGGCTGTAGGTCCTCGTAGTGCCCGCGCAGATCGATTCCAATATCGATAACTTGCCCCGTTTCTAAGTAATCGATAAACAAGCGCAAATTCCAAGAATTTCTGTGTGCATGTACACACACACATTCATGCACGTCTGCTTTGAATTCTATCAACAGTATTGCAATTGCGATTGAATTGTTATCTGTGCTGCTATTTTAATTGGGTTTCTTCTCAGTGCGTCCCAATTATTGGTGTGGCTCTTGAGTAGAGTGGTGCGGTTAGTTGCGAGTTCGAACGCTGCCAAGGGAACAATTTTTTTTTTCTTTTCATTTTTATTTATTATTACTAAATCAAACGAGCGCGTAGCGCGATCTGCATTTGGTGTTGGAAAAAGAGGGTTCAGGGTATCCCCTTGTCGGGAGCTCCCGACTAGAACCTCTTACTTGTTTTTGCTGGTGTGGCTGTTGCGTAGAGGCGGCAGCAAGTAATGCGGTCAGTTGCGAGTTCAAACCCTGCCAAGGGTTTTTTTTTTTTTATTTATCTTTTTTACTTCTAAAGCAAACGACCGCGTAGAGCGAGCTGCATTTGGTATATAAGAATAAGAGGGTTCAGGGTATCCTCTAGGCGGGAGCTCCCGACTAGAACCTCTTACTGTTTTTCTATTCGAATGTGCGGAGAAATCCATCCGTAGTGGAAAATTAGCAGAATACGGCTGAATAAAATTAAATATGATTAGCTTGAAAATAATATTCAATGATTTTTGAACTATTACGAAGTGTTTCACACATTTCTCAAAATCCAACCCTCTTGGATGCACAAAGTGGGCCATGTGTCAATGACAAAGTTTGTTACTCGGGTTCAAGCTTCGTAACAAGCGACTAAAATGGCCGGAAAACATTGATTTCAACTTTTTGTGAACGTTAAACTCATTTTCAAAATACAGTGTAAAGACTAACTAAGATTCGGAACTTTAGATATTGTGGGTGGATATAAATTTTGCACGGCTAGTAAACGGGTGGTAATTATTGTCTTAAGATGTAAGCAAAGTACTTCAACTGGACAACGCCAGGAGATACCATCTATAAATATTTAATATCATATTTTTTTTATATATATTTTATTTGATGGCAAAAAAAACCAAGTCCACACAACACAGCTTGAAAAAATAAAATGGTCAGATTGCTTTTAGAATAATAAATCATCTTCCTGATAGTGTATTAAATCTCCGGTAAACAGTAATGAATTTTCTGTCTAGCTCTATGCCATTAATTATGGGCTATTATGAATGTTCGGTGAAATCGTGAATTTGTTTGAATTGATTAACAATAAAATTAGTGAGTTTGGTTAGGGCATTACCTGGTTGTCATGGTGCCGCCAGTGGCAAAAGCCGTCAGAAATCTGAAGAGACAGTAGAACCAAAAATACGGGGATAGACAGACGATCAAGCCAGCGCCTAGCTGCATGAAGCAGCAGCCTAAAAATGCAGGACGACGACCACAACTGCAAATATATATTCGTAATTAATGATATAAATATATAAAGGTATATTGTATATAGCTTACCGATCTGCGATCATGCCAAAGACAATACTGCCAAACATAATGCCAGCCATAACAATGGATTGTGACATACTGGATAAACTGGAATTTTTACAGGTAAGATTCCATTCGGTAACGATGGTGGTCTTAAATACGCTGGTGTCGAACTCGGTTTTTTCGCAAGCGTCGCTGCACGCATCTGTCACGTTTGGTGTTGCGCAACTGACAGGCGTGGGGGCCGCCAAAAAGATGTGTGCCAGTGTGTGCCAGCCGGTGCCAAATTTACTTAAAAATATCAGCATGCAAAACCAGAACTGATAACGCTTAAAGTCACCGATCTGGGAGATAATTGGATCGGCCGTCTTCTTTACCGGAACCGGCTCCTTCTTTTTCGGTTGATCGTCCATTATAATTAGTTGTTGTATGTATCTAAAGTAAAAAAGAAAAATCATAAATAGAAAAAAAACATGGTAAGAATTAGAATGTTGATTGTCCCTATTATGTGTGTGTACTGAAGGTACAAACTAATTAAAGCAGTTTAATGACAGTGCAAAGTGCAGTTTCCAGTGCAAGCTTGATTTTCTCAATTAATTGGATATATATATGTGGACTATATATATTACGGACTGGCGCTCGCACAACTCGCGACCGGCAACTGACAGACTGGCGCGAAAATGCGGCTGGGCCCAAAAGATCGTCAGATCGATTTCATATGCCAACATCGAACCGGTTTTTGGGGCCTCAACGGCCTCAGCTGGTTAACAGCCGGTTAACGTGACAAACTTGGCCAGGCATTAGCACCTGAGCAGTAGCAGCGGCAGCGGCAGCGACACAACGTTTGGAATTGCATCCAGGCTAAATTGGCATTTAGTATTGCAACAGAAATAAGGCCAAAAGGCAACAAACTCCACTTTTACCTCTAGTCACAGACTTTCAGCTACATGATTCGGAACTCTGTAGTTGTAGTTAAATAAAGTTGGCCACTTCATTAATTGAAGGTGCGCCTTGGCCAGAGCTATTTGCCACAGATAGCAGCCAGATGCAGCCATTGTCTGCAGTCAGATAAACTTTGCTGCCACTGCCACAAGATGGCTTAATTATCGAATAAGCCAGGCCACAATCGAGTGAAAGTTCGGCCCAAGTGAGTACTAGTGAGCCAGGCCTCGAGATTTGTCGCTAGCGACAAGCAACAATCAACACTCGCTACTTGCAACCAGTCAGCATATTCCCACGACTGTGGCAACCTGTCCAGAGAGCAACAACAGTGGCGCAAAATGTCACAACAATTGAAAATAAATTATATGCAAATTGGATAGCCAATCAATGTAACATACACAGACGCCAACATACACTCAGGGCAAACACAATGCTAGCCACATGATAAATCCGCCAATTGTCGCATAAATGTGTCACATTGGCACCCACTAAGATGCCCAAACTGGGCATTAAAATATAACTTCAGATTGTTGCCTTTCGATACGGTTACTTAAGAGCTGTCAACACGACTATAGATTAGCAAAAGCAATCAACTTTGTGAATGATCTCTATATATAAAACTGTTTGTCCTGACTGACTGACTGTCTGACTGACTGACTGACTGACTGACTGACTGACTGACTGACTGATTGGTGATCAACGCACAGCCCAAACGGTAAGAGCTAGGAAGCTGAAATTTTCACTGTAGCTACCTTATGTGATGTAGGTGCACGTTAAGACGGGGTTTCGGGAAATTTCACTCGCAAGTGTGGAAAAATCGCGAAAAACGTTTGTATGTAACTTTTTTGTTTACCATCCGATCGGCCCCAAACTTATTTTCAAAGATCTTTGTTCAAATTCATTTGAGGGGTGTTTCGCACTTTTCGGAAAACCCATTCCTCCTTGGTGGAAATGGAGGTCAAAGATTTGGTGGGTGACGTTTCGCGCTCAAATTCATTTCCAGAGATCTATAAAAAAATTATTTGAGACGTGTTTCACACTTTTCGCAGAATTCAAACTTCTTCGGGAGGAATGCGATTTAAAGATTTTTTGGGAGAAGTTTTAAGTTGTGTCCGATTTGCTTCAAACTTATTTTCAAAGCTCTACATAAGAACTTAATAAATACGTATTTTAGCAATTTGGGAAATTCCACTCGCAACATTGGTAAATTGGCGGAAAACGTTTCTATGAAAATTGTTTGTTTACCGTCCGATAAGTTTCAAAATCATTTTCAAAGCTTTTTGAGAACGTTGATTTTTAACATACGTTCCACGGGCAAGGCCGGGTTATACCCGCTAGTATGGTATATGAGTTTTAACAATTTGACAAGCTACTCACTTGATTTTTTTTTTTATTAATTTTAACTTTTATTAAGGTGTGTATGTTTAATAGACAGAGATGCGGGTCAATCAAGTATGGAATACTAGTAAATACCGGGTCAGGTCAAGATTAACAAACACAAACAAGTTGACAATTGCTGTTGGAGTCGAACCAGCAACTTCTTTCATTGATCCGACGCTGAGTTACCTAAATCAGACATTCCGTTTACAAAGTGCGTGCTTTTTATAGCTGCTTGTTTTAAAAAAAAAATAATCACATTGACCTTTTTTTGCTTATCTTGTGGTTCAAAGTTTTCAAAACTTCGTCTTAAAGTCCACTTTCGCCACAAGTGGTAGCTTAAGTAAATATATTTGCTACTTTGCTTTTACTATTATAATTACTGTTATTATTATTGGTACTATTACTTTTACTATTGTTATTATACATAGAGATATATGTTAGACTGCAAATCTGTTGTTCACTCATTTTATGTACTTTTACTCAAACCTTGAATCAAACGAACTGAATGCTGGAAACCGTGTTCACAATCGAGTGGCAGCTAAGCCTATATATACAAAACTTATATAAGATTTTAGTTGTTATAAATATAATGCACTTTTTCTTATTAGGCTTTGTAAGATTTTATGCACATGTTACGAATTAGCGTTGATCACCAGCCTATTTGTTGTTTATTTGCACGTTGCACATTGCACATTGCATTTGTCTTGGTATGCCCAATGCTAGGCTTATCAATGTCGCGAATTATAAGTATATGCCACTCACGCCCACCTTTTTCTTTTATAATTTAAACCACGAATTCCTTATATATCCTTTCCATCAATAGCTTTCAGCAGCTGCTGCCAGACTGCGTTTAACCCGTACGACAATGAGTTGAGCTGAATTAGTTCTGCATTTTCACAGCGGGCGAGTCTGGACTGAGATAAGAGCTTTGACAGCATCATCTCCGGCCTGATAAGGCGCATATAAAGGTTTTATTGTTTTATTATTAACTCGCTCTCCACACAGAGTCAATACGCAACCATCTTATCTCTACGATTTTTTTTACTAGACTATTTTGAATATTTTTACAGCTTCTGTTGACAGCGCGAGCTACTAATGAAATCTGACAATATTGAATGGAACATAATGAAAACGAAACATAACAACGAGCTCAAAAAAAGATTCTTTCACAGATTTGTTTGTGAAATCAATTGGTTTGTTTAGGAATATTATTTAAAAACTGATTGAATGGCTGTTTAGTAAGTATATTACTGCATAAACAATCTTAAACAAGTAAGAGGTTCTAGTCGGGAGCTCCCGACTAGGGGATACCCTGAACCTTCTTATTCCAACAGCAAATGCAGCTCGAGCTAAGCGCTCGTTTGCTTTAGTAGTAATAAAGATAAATTAATAAAAAAAAAAGTTACCTTGGCAGGGTTAACCGATCTTGATACAATTTTCAGCAGTAGATCTTATTGTATTATAAAATATTCGTGTATTATCAAAGTCAATTGCATTTTAATTGTGGCTGATATTGGTGGGCGGCATTAATTGGTGTTTTTACTTCTTTTATAGCTATGAGGTTGTAGCGGTGAGGTGGTGGTAGCTATAAAATAAAAGATATATGATATATATACTATACTAGAAGCTAAAGTCAAGTTTGGGGACTCTAGCTCTTAATATTTACCAAAGTGCTCAAAAAAACTTGGAAACGGGGCAAGTTATCGAATATGGGAAACAAACTCGATTTGCGCGGGCACTAGGAGGACCTACAGCTAAAATTTCGATTCTAGCTCTTATAGGTTCTGAGATCCTTGCGTTCATACATACGGACGGACGGACAGACAGACAGACAGACGGACATGGCTAGATCGACTCGACTGTTGATGCCGATCAAAAATATATATACTTTATGGGGTCGGAGATGCTTCCTTCTGCCTGTTACATACATTTGCACAAATACATTATACCCTTTTTAACCATTTTCAATGGGTTCAGGGTATAAAAAGTTAAGTGAGCTTTTGTAAAATAATGAATGTGTTTTAATGTAACAGAAATACCCAATAATATAAACAGTATATTTAAGGTGTAAAATACAAAGTATACAGTGTATTCGGATCTAAATATCTATTATTGTATCAGAAATAGCCAATATAATATAAATAGTATACACAAAACATTTTAGGTCTAGAAACTGAATAATATAGTGTAAGCAGATCTTAATACCTATACCGTATATTCAAGTTAAGAGAAGGGATAAGAATATGAGGTAAGGATATGATAGTCCCAGCAGTCTTGACAACCAGAGTATTGAGAGTATTATTTGAGATACAGGATATATGCATATAACTACGCAGCAGGATATTGGTATACGGATACAATTGATAAATATATACGAATATTTTGGCTTACTTCTTGAAACTTTTAGAAAGCTATCAACTCTTGCCTCTTCTAGTGCTTTCGCAATAAGTCCTTGACTCGATTTGAAAATGTTAGCTTAAACTTGTAATTAACAGTGATTTGAGCTGTGGCTAAAAGTCGCAAGTTGAAGAGGCAATCGAAATGATATGTGTAACTACTGCATATACCCCCACCCCCCTTCCCCCCCAACCCTCCACCTCACCCACTGCTTGTTATATATTTTGTTCCTGTCATTTTGGGCCAAATGGAGCTGGGTCTATGACAAACTTTGGCTGGAACTGTTTACTTACTCGGCTTGTGCTAAAGTCTGGATTTTCAGCACTGCGCAAAACTTCCAGTTACCCTTTTGCCTTGCGTCCAAAGTTTTCGCCATCCTCCAATGTCTCCGGTAACGGAGTACCGCGTGTCTCTGGTAAAAATATGCTGCAAATCACGGCCGCTACCGAGAAGAGGCCGAATATGAGTGGTGTTATCCATAGCTTAATCTGGGCCAGATCACAGATGAGCGGTGCTAGCAGACTACCAAAACGGCCAACCATTGAGCACAGGCCCATACCATTCGAGCGCACCACTGTCGGGAATATCTCACCGCCCCATAGATACACATTGGGAAATGATATCGACGCACCAAATAGTCCCACTATGGCGCAGGCCACCTGAATCCGCATATCGAAACTAGTCAGAAACACCAAAGCTAACAGTCCAATGGCACTAAGCCCATTGGACAGCATCATTGTGATCCTGCGACCCAAATACTTGGTCAAGACCACGCAGAGCAGGGTGCCGGGGATGCCCAGCCCAGCGGCGATGAGATTGTTAAGGAATATATTGCCGCCCAGCTTGGATATATACTGGGCGGTGCCATAGTAGACCATGCAAATCACCAACCAAATAACGAGCATGCAAAAGGTCTTCACACGCAATAAGGGCGTTCGAAAAAGATCGATCACGGTACCCTTTTTTGTAGGTGTCCTGGCAGCCAGCGCTTTGTAGCCGGCCTCTATTTCCCCTCGGATGGTTTCGGTGGGAGCATTGTTTCTTTTAGCTATCCTTTCCAATATCTTAATGGAAGCATCCACGTGTCCTGTCGTAAACAGCCAACGTGGCGACTCGGGCACCAGGCATATGTAAATCACGAACACGACTGAAAATATTGTCACGGAGAACTGAAACCAGCGCCAGGTCCGTATAAAGTAGGCGAATACCGCCAGGGAGGCGTGGCCAATGTTGAACGGTATTTGATACAGAATTGCAACTAGTTCGCGTTTCTTCGGTCCAATGATTTCCATGATGAGCACAAAGCTGTCGAGCGAGTGAAAGAGGGAGAGAAGCAAGCAAAACGAATATTAAATTCAAAGCTTATCGAAAATTTCGGTATTTCAAAATTTTAAATAAAGGTAGATTTCCTTACTTTCTAACCGAACCTAAATAAATATCAACACTCATTTTTTTGCAGGCTTCGTGAAGCACATTACTGAAATTTCCAATCCTTTCTGATATAGATCATGGGTCAATGAAAAAGTTTGTTACTCGGGTTCAAGCTTCGTAACAAGCGACTTAAATGGGCGGAAAACATTGATTTCAACTTTTTGTGAACCTAAAACTCATTTTAAAATACAGTGTAAAGACTAACTAAGATTCGGAACTTTAGATATTGTGGGTGGATATAAATTTTGCACGGCTAGTAAACGGGTCGTAATTATTGTCTTAAGATGTAAGCAAAGTACTTGAACAGGACAACGCCAGGAGATACCATCTATAAATAAAAACGAGAAACAAGTGTTATCTTCGGCACGCCGAAGATTTAATACCCTTGCAGACCCAACCTTTTCAAAATGCTCATAGTGCTTTGCCCGTATCTAAGAAGCACAGGGAAAATAGTTAATGCCGAGTATGGTTAAGACATTAAAATTTTCCATACAAAAACTTAATTTTCGGCCGATCTTTCCAATGGCAGCTATATGATATAGTTGTCCGATCTTAATAGGATTTTGCATATATATGGGGAGCTTGGTAAAACTAATAAGTACCGAGTTTGGTCAAGATATCTTGAAAAACATAAAAATTTTCCATACAAAAACTTAATTTTCGACCGATCGTTCCTATGGCAGCTATATGATATAGTTGTCCGATCTTAATAGGATTTTGCATATATATGGGGAGCGTAGTAAAACTAATAAATACCGAGTTTAGTCAAGATAACTTTATAAACAAAAATGTTTTTCATACAAGAACCTACTTTTCGACCGATCGTTCCTGTGGCAGCTATATGATATAGTGGTCCGATCCAGCTGGTTTTTGACATATGAACTGCGTGCAACGGAATTCTGCAAAGTTTCATAAAGATAGCTTTAAAACTGAGAGACTAGTTCGCATAGAAACAGACAGACGTACAGACGGACATGGCTATATCAACTCGGCTGTTGATACTGATCAAGAATATATATACTTTATGGGGTCGGAGATGTCTCCTTCTATGCGTTACACATTTCACGACAAAATTAGAGTAAATTCTATTCTGATTAAGAGTAAAATTAGTGAGTGATGTTAGGGCTGTACCTGGTTGTCATGGTGCCGCCTGTGGCAAAAGCCGTCAGAAATCTGAAGAGACAGTAGAACCAAAAATACGGGGATAGACAGACGATCAAGCCAGCGCCTAGCTGCATGAAGCAGCAGCCTAAAAATGCAGGACGACGACCACAACTGCAAATATATATTCGTAATTAATGATATAAATATATAAAGGTATATTGTATATAGCTTACCGATCTGCGATCATGCCAAAGAAAATACTGCCAAACATAATGCCAGCCATAACAATGGATTGTGACATACTGGATAAACTGGAATTTTTACAGGTAAGATTCCATTCGGTAACGATGGTGGTCTCAAATACGCTGGTGTCGAACTCGGTCTTTTTGCATTCGTCGCTGCACGGATCTGTCACGTTTGGTGTTCCGCAACTGACAGGCGTGGGGGCCGCCAAAAAGATGTGTGCCAGTGTGTGCCAGCCGGTGCCAAATTTACACAAAAATATCAGCATGCAAAACCAGAACTGATAACGCTTAAAGTCACCGATCTGGGAGATAATTGGATCGGCCGTCTTCTCCACCGGAACCGGCTCCTTCTTCTTCTTTTTCGGTTGATCGTCCATTATAATTAGTTCGTGTACCTACGTTTGCTAACTTTAGAAACACAAAAACGAAAACAGAAAAAAAAACATTGAATCGCTTAAAATTTAAATGTTGATTGTCCCTATTATGTGTGTGTACTGAGAGTACAGACTAAATTATAGTAGCTTGTTGACAGTTTTTTCCAGTGTAAACTTGATTTTCTCAATGAATTGGATATATATATGTGGGTATCTCTATATATAAAACTGTTTGTCCTGACTGACTGACTGATTGGTGATCAACGCACAGCCCAAACGGTAAGAGCTAGGAAGCTGAAATTTTCACTGTAGATACCTTATGTATGTAGGTGCACGTTAAGACGGGGTTTCGGGAAATTCCACCCGCAAGTGTGGAAAAATCGCGAAACACGTTTGTATGTAACTTTTTTGTTTACCATCCGATCGGCCTCAAACTTATTTTCAAAGATCTTTGTTCAAATTCATTTGAGGGGTGTTTCACACTTTTAGGAAAATCCATTCCTCCTTGGTGGAAATTTAGGTCAAAGATTTGGTGGGTGACGTTTCGCGCTCAAATTCATTTCCAGAGATCTATAAGAAAAATCATTTGAGACGTTTTTCACACTTTTCGCAGAATTCAAACTTCTTCGGGGGGAATGCGATTTAAAGATTTTTTGGGCGAAGCTTTAAGTTGTCTCCGGTTTGCTTCAAACTTATTTTTAAAGCTCTTTATAATAACTTAATAGATACGTATTTCAGCGATTTGGGAAATTCCACCCGCAACAGTGGTAAATTGGCGGAAACGGTTGTATGAAAGTTTTTTGTTTACCATCCGATCGGTCCCAAACTAATTTTCAAAGATCTTTGTTCAAATTCATTTGAGGGGTCTTCCACACTTTTCGAAAAATCCGTTCCTCCTTGGTGGAAATGGAGGTCAAAGATTTGGTGGGTGACATTTCGCGCTCAAATTCGTTTCCAAAGATCTATAAGAAAAATCATTTGAGACGTGTTTCACACTTTTCGCAGAATCCAAATTTTTTCGGGTGGAATGCGAACAAGGATTTTTTTTGCGAAGTTTTAAATTGTGTCCGATTTGTTTCAAACTTATTTTCAAAGATCTACATAAGAATGTAATGAATACGTGTTTCAGCGATTTGGGAAATTCCACTCGCAACAGTGGTAAATTGGCGGAAAACGTTTGTAAGAAAGTTATTTGTTTACCGTCCAGTATCAGTTTAAAATTTTTTTGAGAACATTGATTGACATACGTGCCACGGGCAAGGCCGGGTTATACCCGCTAGTGTATATATATATATATATATATATATATATATATATATAAGCAGAAATTGCTTCTGAACAGATTCATATTCTGCTTTTTGCCTTACGAGGTTTAAATTGGGACCCTAATCTTCGGTTGCTATAGATTCTCCTTCTCTGCAAGGGCATCTTCAATTCTCTGTTCCGGCTAGACCAACCAGAAATTATCGCCCCTTATTCCTATCGACGTGCACAACTGACTTAGCTATGCACAATCCTTTTAGCGTGGTATGTAAAAATTACAATAGTTTGCATCACGTTTTCTCTACCGAACTTTCTCTACCCCTAATAAAATCGTTGCTTTCAGGATACCTTCGGGAAGTCACTGACCATTCCCAGCTATGAGCAGGGGCATAGCTTGCCGGATAGCCTGTAAATTTTCCCCCACCGGGTCGGCGATTCCCCATTACTTTCCCAATTCTATCACTTTATTCTATCTACTTAACAAGCTATATATCTAGCATACAGTTCTTTACTTTATTAACTATCTTCTTACTTTCTTTTCTCCTGTTATGGTATTTTCCTAAATAATATAGCAAATTAAGATTATTTTTAATTTTACTTAAGAACACTTTTTTCCTACCTACACCCTTTTTCTTAGATGTAGGCTCTAATAGCGTCATTGACAAAATTAGCTGTGAAAAGGGGCACAGCTGGCCGGACTGGTAAATAAAACACCTGAATCGGTTGATGATGCTATTAGAAAATGGTGTATTCTAACAAGGCTTTTAGCATTTAATTTTCATAAAGTATGTATAATATATTGAATAATTAGGAAGACACTCATTTTGTCAACCAATAATAAAATAAAATAAAAAAAAATAATGTATTAGAAATACCCAATAATATAAACAGTATATTTAAGGTGTTAAATACAAAGTATACATTGTAAGCGGATCTAAATATCTATAATTGTATCAGAAATAGCCAATATAATATAAATAGTATACACAATACATTTTAGGTCTAGAAAAT